AGTACTAGTGTGTCAAGGAGAAGTGCGATGGGTGAGTCAAATGGATATGTGGTGACATCAAAGACCGACGGTCCCACGCCAAACATGGCATCCATCCTGAGTTGCGACATCACGCTGAAAAAGGCAGCAGTGTCTTTTTTGGATGATGTCCTCCGAGCTTCCTGTCATGTTCCTCAGTGCAAGCTGCAAGTTCGGCATTTTCTGAGAAGCCATCTTTGGCAAAATTAGCTCAGCAGGAGATGAAACAGACGAACAAAAACGGGAGTGAATATGTATAGTAGAGAAATGTTATCTCCTATTGATTTAGTGCCCAGGAAAGCTGTGTTCAGCACATTTATGTGATATAACATAAAACTGTTGTCAGCTGAGCTGCCTTTTAATTGAGCAGGTGACAGCTGAAGAGGACAGGAAAAGGAGAGAAGAAGAGATAGTAACGTCTCACCGATGGGGTATCAACCGAAACATGGAGAGGTCCGATCCGTAGGTAAGAGTAGCCAATGCTGTCAGCGGGGTAGGAGACGTGGGAATGGGGATTGTGGGGGGGACACAAGAAAGCCACAGGTGCGGAGTCAGAACTCACGTCACTGCAGCAAGGACTCACTGTGGACAGATGGCGCTACCAGGTGAGGCACACATAAAACACACAAGCGTCGCTCTGGTGCTATATTGACAATGAACTAAAAAACACAAACAAATCTTTTTGTGATGGTTTGAATGTGACTGTCAGAAGTGATATGGTAGCAGTGTTTGTATGTAATAAGATAAGGATAAGGAATTTAGACTTTATTGATCCCACACTGGGGTAACACAGCAGATGAGAAAAAAGAAAAATACACATTAAATAACAAAATAAAATAGAAAAAATACAAGATATCAAGATATGTTTTGTTATCTGGAACTATACAGATAAAATTGAATAAATAAAGGTGCACTTATACAATGCAAACACATCATATTGTTATGTTTTTTTTATCAGTTTGGAAAAGACCAAACAGAAAGCCTTAGCCTTGGGCAGTTACTTTATTAAAAGGGTAAAATTAAAATGCATGAATAAAAAAGTAGCAGCTACTTAAACCCTTTTGAGTTAATACAACAGCTGTCCAGTTGTTCCAGGCCAAACTGTATATCTGAAAACTCAAAATGATCTCCTCTGAATGAACACACACACACACACAAAGTATGAAAGCAAAGCAGATTTTGGGAGGAACAGTTTATTCAGTTTATATTTACAAGGGACCGATCATATCAATTTAAAGAACGTCAGAACAGCCAATGATAGAGCGTCTTTAAATCTAAGCAAACATTTTACAGCAGACGAATGGAAGGCAAATCATTTGTAATATTGTGCTTTTACAGTTGGAAAGGTCAGATCAACTATTTGTATGCAAACCTTGCTTACGATATTGGATGTGATCGATCGCAAAACTATAAACTATAATAACTAAAAGTCACATTCCTTCACATTTTCTGGATTTCTTCCAATCATTTAGTTGAAAAATAGGCACTCAGTGCAGCCAACAAACCTCAAAGGAACCTTTTCAACGATAGTTTCATCACGGATGGCAAATATGTAATGAAACTGCTCAGGTTTTGGTTTATTGGTGTGAAAACAGCCTAAAAGGACTGAAAAGAATCGAAAAGTTGAACCTTTTCGTTAACAATCCTGTACCAGAAAGGCAAAAGAACAAGAAGAATTGAGATGGCACTTTAGAAAGCAACATTTCATGAGCACTATTTCGTGTACCAAAGACATATAAACATGTCCATGCCTTACTACCAGCTACACAACTGCATGAACACTCATCAGTCAACAACAAACACGTTTTAGGAGAACACAGCACCTTCTCAACAGAAATCATAACTCACATATATGCTGAAACCATTCAAAAGGTTATGTGACAAATAAATCCAATAGTGCAAAACAAGGCAGGCAGGCAATACAAGTATGCAGTTCCTTACAAAAATAAAAATTCTTCACTCCTCTGCCCTCCTGCTACAATAAGTTGAACAGATGGAAGACGTTAGAGGAAATCAATGTAACCCCAGAAAATGTACAATCCATAATGCATTAGGATGAGAATGTGCTGACATTGTCCCAAATGTTCACCAGAAACAACCACAGAGAAACACAAGGAGATGTCAAACAAAAACCCCTTGAAATCATAAACTAAATCTCCTCATAAGATACATTAACTTTATCATTCTGAAATAAGATCACAGTTCCTTTCAGAGGCCACTTTAGACCTAATCAATCTAATCACAATCTGAACAACAAATGTTCCCGTATGAAACAGATCTACAAGAATAATAGAAAGGTGCAATTTATAAACATGTGTACAACCAGGGGTGTGTCTAGAGGTCGGGGAGGGGGCCTGAAATCTGATTGGCCACTCTGCTCTGTGTTTTAGAGGCTAGTAGCAGGTTCAGTTGTTAGATACTGGTATAACATAAAATCTAACGCATCCATTGGTACAAACAAATAACTTGTCAGTAAGGAGGCTCAATAACGCTCCAAATTTAGGCTACAATGGAAAAACTAGCATAGCAATTTTCAAAGGGATCCCATTGACCTCTGACCTCAAGATATCTGAAAGAAAATGGGTTCTATGGGTAGAGGGTTTGGACAAATAACAGGCAACATTGTGCACACACTATATTATTTTCATCTATACTTTAAGGTTTTTGAACTCTCAGAGGATGTATGGGTTGCCAAGATATATTGAGGAGTTAATCAAGTGTGTAAGCTTTAAACAAATTATACTCCAATCCAGTCCAATTTGGTGCACAACTGCTGGGTTGTGAGACCGTAATACTAGCAATTAAAGTCAATTATTAATTCCGGCTTTTGTCAATGCCCAACATGGACTACCACAGTCAAAAAAAGGTTCCTGTGTACAATGCTTGCGTATTTTGTCCTGATTGTGGCCACTTTGACACAGATTCTACACGACATTATTGTAGATGTTTTGTATATGGTGAGTTGGTATTATATGCATCTTATACGTGACATACAGTATGTAATGTGCAGAATATACAGTCTGAATATGATGTAGTAAATATAAAGCACATTTCTTTAATGTTTGTATTGAATCTGTTTATGTGGCCATAACCATGTTACACAAAATAAACAACCACTGCTTTACAAACATTTTAAGACATATATATGAACAGATTTTCCTATGTGGGGGTTCCAAGGTCACAAAATGCAAATATTGATCATATTCCTCCATTTTCTACGCACAAGACGACTGAGGCACATCATAACACAAGATACAGTACAGATGTTAGTACATTAGGACATTTTAAAAATGTCCTTACAGCAAAAGAGGGAGCTTGAAAAGGCCTTATGATACAGCTGTTGTGAGGCAAAAATAAATATGAAGGCATCTGACGCATTGGAAAACCATTGTTATTTACATCTAACACATATCATATTCACACGAACCAGCATGAATATAAATGTGTGTAACCAGTTTGGTCTGAAGCTGAAGCATCTGCTACATCAGTAATGTTGCTGTCAGACGTCTCTGGTGTGATCAAGTGTT